AAAAGGTGAAAGTACCCTTATTACATCCCCTCTATGTATCCTACCCCAGCCTATCCTCCAAGACTAACCACACTTAAAAATTTTACTACATGTTTGTGAGGATATGTACTTGGATGCGTTACACACATACTTGACATGGGATGTTTACATATACAAAAACCATGATACTTAGCTTATCTTTCAGTTTTTGTTGTCCTGTTGGGAACAGTAGTCCCCTACAACCTTCTACCTCCTACCCTGAAGTGGACCTAAGCCTTTAGTTTACTTGAATATGGGGGGAAAAACCTTTTAAAAATGGAAAAACAATCTTGATACAAGCAGAGCAGAAACATTTTATTTATCAAATTACATACCATTATTACATTAAATACATTATTAGAATGTATTTCCTCATTTAGGAAAAAGGGACAAACAGTGGTAGGAAAACAATGTAATTTTCCTGTCTCCGGAGATCTTTGTTATTCTGCAGGTTAGAATGTGGCAAGACTCGTTGTAATTGAGATGCCTTGTAATACCATTGATAGAAATCCAAGGAGAGGGCGAGCCAGCAATTCCTTTGAAAAGCTTGGTATTGTCCTCACCTCTTGTTACACACCCTTTTCTTTGTCACATTTCTCTTTCAGTCCATGCATCAAGAATATCTTCATGATAAGCAGTTTCATTCCGTGAAGCTTAGGACATATTCTCAGCATGAAATACCCTCTAACAGAGGTATCTTCCAATTGTCAATTATCACATAAACCATCATCTCAGGAGGTTGTATCATCACCATCCATCAGGCATCTTGGCTAGTTTTTCTTCCATTTAAAAATTAGTAGGAGTGCCTGGGTGGCTCAGTAGGTTGAGGGGTTGACTCTTGATTTCAGCTCAGGTTGTAATCTCAGGGCCCTGGAATGGAGCCCCGCATCTGGCTCTATGCTCAGCAGGGAGTCTGGTTCAGGACTCTCTCTTTCCCCCTCTTCCCCTCCCCATGCTTGCTTGCTCTCTTTCTCTCTCAAACAAATCTTAAAGAAATAGTAACATTGAAAAAAAAGGATAATCATTTTAAAAAACTTTTTTGGAACAATTCCTAGTTTGGATGTGTCTGCTGTATTGACCCCTAGGTGAGTTATTTTCAACTCTGGTGTTTTCTATAATTGTTTGGCGCCTTTCTTCTCATGTATCAAAAAGTGGTGAAAATCCATGAAATATTTTATAAAGGACTTTGCACTGTTCTTTGATGCTGTGTGCTATCTTTGCAAAGTAGTAACAAAGTTTTTCAAAGGTTACCATTTGGAGAACCTACTGTTTCTTAAATCCATACAAGAAGGGAAATAGAGTTGAAGTCTCTTTGTGTGGGTTGGCCTTTGTTTAGCAAATAAATGACTTCATTACATTTTTTCCCCTAATAGCCTAGTTTATTATGGACAGTCACAAAAACCTGATATATATGGGGGGGGTGGGAGAAAGAGAGAGAGAGAGAGGCAGAGACACAGGCAGAGGGAGAAGGAGGCTCCATGCAGGGAGCCTGACGTGGGACTCCATCCTGGGTCTCCAAGATCACACCCTGGGCTGAAGGCAGTGCTAAACCGCTGAGCCACCCGGGCTGCCCTATTTTTTTTTTTTTAAAGTTATTTAATATTGACTTTTGAAATTGTATAGTGAGTGTTTACAAGAGGTCAGTGGTCGCTAGATTTTTGGGATGGTGCACATTTAACAATCATTTTCTCAGGTCCTGAGACTGAGTTTGATTTTCTTGGCCTAGATTTCAAGAGGTTTCAAGAGGTGATGAGTGCTGAGATTTGAGAGAGATGGATTCTCTGAAGCATTCAGTTTAACAGCCCCAGGGAGTGGCATTGCCACTTGGTTAATTAGTTCATGGAGCCTCCCTTTGGGCTAGTTTATCAGGATTATCCCTCTTTTTACAGATTAAGAAAATGAGGTGTGAGGCATTGAATTGGTTCTTGAGAATGTGTTGGCAGTTAGTTCTGGAGTTCAGAATTGGGAGATTATTATTATTTCAAATATATATTTCAACAACTGTTTTCACTGAGCTCTTTTTTTTATAACAGATGGATTCATATTTTTTGAGTCATATAAGTTTTAACTTGAATTTGATGCAACTGTGGTTATTGTATTATTGTCATATGGAGTTTGTGAACTTGGGAGTTAAATCACATATAGATTTCCTAGGTTCACATGAAGCCTTGTGGGCTTGAGCAAGTGTTTGATATGGCCCTCTGTGACACAAACACAATCTAAAAAAGATACAACAGACAAAAGGATGTTTTGGAAAGCATGTGTGATTTGTATTGGAGGATCTGCACTAGGTCCCTGGCTCACCTCATTCTAATAGGGTAAATGTGCTTGTACTGCTTTTGCTACCTTTCACTTTAGGAATAGTTTCAAGAAAAATGTTAGCCAAATATTTATTCAGTTCGCTGTTTCTCTACCTACGGACCTATGCACCTGTTCGCCTTTCTCCTTTACACTCAGGGCATGACTCTTCACTCTGATTAATTAGGCTTACCTGTGTCTCGGTATCCAAATAAACTGCGGTTTCTGAGATGGTGTTGAATCCAGTGAAGAATCCAGGCAAGAGATTAGCTGTTAGCATGTCCTCCCATTACTTTGTGGTGATTCTTAAACTGACACAACCCAAGCAGGAGTATTATTAATGTGCTAGGTCCAAAATGAATGAGTTTTGAATTGATACCTTTTCATTTGCTTTGGTTCCATGGTCATAGATTCCACACTAACATTGGCCAGCCATTGACCAATCACCAATAAAGCTATTCCTGGTACCCAGGGTCTGAGTGGGAGCACCGCACATGCCATTCCTGGGTGTCCATCCCACTGTAACTAGGTGTATTGATACTTAACATTATACTCATATTTCAAATACTATTTATTTATTATTTATTTTTTTAAATTTTTTTTAAATTTTTTTTGTTTGTTTTTATTTATGATAGCCACACACAGAGAGAGACAGAGGCAGAGACACAGGCAGAGGGAGAAGCAGGCTCCATGCACCAGGAGCCCGACGTAGGATTCGATCCCGGGACTCGAGGATCGCGCCCTGGGCCAAAGGCAGGCGCCAAACCGCTGTGCCACCCAGGGATCCCAATACTATTTATTTTAAATGGCAAGGGAAATTGTATGGGCTAATAAGAAAATTTACACATTTTAGAGACATATTCTAATTTATTATTGTATTTTTCATTATCTAAAGCCATAGCACCATGTGATCAATCCCTCATCCCTGAAAAGGATTCTAGAAAAGCTTCCCTTCTGTGCAGTTGATTTGACTTATTTTTGTATGTGTGATTGAAGTTATTATTTGAAATGCCAATTAAAAAATGCATTGTAAATTAAAAATTGTGCTTTCTCCAAAAAGTTTCAGTTGTCTTATACAATGGTCTTACTTTTTTTTTCTGAACTCAGATATATTACTTGGATTATTTTTTCAAATTCTATTATTAGTATATCTGAAAACAGCCTAGTTAATTTAATTATAATAACTCAGAAACATATATTTAAGGTTAATCTTCAGTTCAACTGGTTAATCATGAACATTTGGGGAAAATTTTTGCCATGCTGAATGAGGAAAACAATTATTATTCAAAACAAGTGGTTTGCTTTAGTTCCAGCAGCAACGTATACACTCAAAATTATATATATGTTTTTAAGTTCAATTTGCCAACATATATAATTATTTTTAAGTCTTTTATGTATGCATTTCTGTATATTGTTTATAGATATGTATGCTCTAAAGAAAAAGAATATTTTAGCCAATTCAACAAGAATTTTGAAGTTCTTTGTTTACACAACATGTTCACCTTCACCTTTAATTCAAAAATCCCAACAGGGAAGGTCTTAAATAATCAAGGTCAAGAGGCAAGACTTTGAACAAAACTACTAGGGTATGAAGTCTGTGCTCAGTACATTACTAGGTAATATTGAGAGTAACACCAGAGGAACATAATTAAAAATCAAATAAATAAAATGTGTCACATGTCACATGATGGTTAAGTGCTATGGGAAAAGCATCAGGGAAGGGCACTAGGGAGCCAGGAACGTGGCATCAGCTTTAAGACAAGCAGATGATTAATGGATCCAGGAGAGGTAGCTGGAGACAAAAATCAAGGTGAGGATTAGCTTTATGAAGAGATAAGGTTCACCAGAGACAGGCAGCAAAGGGGAAAGTTGGTGAAGGTGAAGATGTAGATGAGGTGGGTTGTGGAGGAAGGGGAGCTCCAGGGGCTTCATGCCTGTTGGCCCCAGTTTCCTTCAGTTTAGAAGGAAATTATCTGCTAAGAGTGAGTGTACCTGCCCTGGGATTTTAGAGTTCAGCATGGTGGGTAGGGATTGAGGAAAAACCCACAAACAGTTGACTAGGGAGCAGAGGGCTGCTGGGAGCTCAGACCAGGCCTCGTGCCCAGGGGTGCCTGGTGCTTGCTTCTTGCCATTGGCTGTTGAGAACCAGGAAACAAAGGCTGGGGAAGTGGGTCGATGGAGAGGGGAGAAGTGGAATCTGTGGGGAAAATGGGATGGGGTCACGTGCCTGGGGTGGGGGGAGCGCCTAGATTCAGCCAGAAAGCGGAGTCTGGGGTGGCTGGATGGGGAGCCCTGCAGAGTCCCAGATTTTATGGGATTACTTTGTTTCTGTGTTAGGGAAAGCAGTGTTTACAGTGTTGCCTCAAAATTCTCAGGTGCAGGCCCAATTGCCGGCACAGATGGTAAGCAGTAAAGCCAGGGCTTGGGGGAAATTTTTCTTGAGAGCTTTGGTAAGGGCATGCAGTAGTGCTAGAAAGTGAGCCCAGAGTGTTTATATAATTGGGGGACACCCCCACCCCCACCCCACGCCGCAAGATTTTAAGATTTTTAACAAAGGCAGAACTGCTCTCAGCCCCTTCCTGAAAACCTGTATCTTTTTTTAATTCCTGGGGGGTTGGGGGGGGGGAGAAAGAAAAGAAAACTAACAGAAGCTCAGTGATTTGCATTTCTTTGCTTTTTTAAAGGTGAAGCCAGTAATGCACAGCAGGATCAACGTGTCCGCTCGCTTTAGAAAGCCACTGCAGGAGCCGTGCACGATCTTGTATGTTGAGGACTTTTACATTATAGTTGGAAGTTTGCTTTCCTTGTGGTTGGGATTTGTTTTGTAGCTTTAAAAGTCTAACCGTTTCCAATGGTGTGGCTAGCTGGTTTTTTGCCTTTTTTTTTTTTTTTCCAGTTTGATTGCAAATGGAGACCTCATAAGTCCGGCTTCCCGCCTCCTCATCCCCAGAAAAACCTTGAATCAGTGGGATCATGTGCTACAGATGGTCACGGACAAAATAACTCTGAGGACTGGAGCTGTCCACAGGTATGCCAGAGTCCCTCTTCTGTGAGTGCATGGGTTTCAGAAGTTTTCGGGATAATGTCAGGAGGCTCTGGAGCCACTGGTCCCCCCGTGTGAATATAAACATACATCTTTATTTTTTAAAATTTTTTTAACAAATTTATTTTTTATTGGTGTTCAATTTGTCAACATATAGAATAACACCCAGTGCTCATCCTGTCTTAAACATACATCTTTAATATATAAATACATAAATGTAATTGAGAGTAATACTTAACATGTGGTAAGAAAAAGATTCAAATGGGACAAAAGACCTAAAAATTATTTCTCCTACCTTGAGCTCTCCAGCCCTCTCTCCAGTACTTTAGCTCTCCAGCCCCTCTCTCCAGTACTTTTCTGCAGTCTTCCAGAAATATTCTGTGCATATGAAGGCACATACATCTGTTATTTCTTAAAAACACAGATGGGCACACATACATATCCACACAGAGTAAGTACATAACCTTGTACTTTATAAGTAAGTACATACCTTGTATAAATTTTTCCTGTAATAACAAATCTTGGAGATTTTTCTTACCAGCACCAGTGGCTACAAAATACTCCATTTTGTGAGTGAGCCCTGATCTGTTATAATAGTCTCCTCTTGATGAAAATTTAGGTTATTTCTAATCCTGTGCTATTACATGTACATGTGAGCAGAGTTTATCAGGAGACGAAAGTGTCTTGTAAATGTCTTTAAAATTTTGCTAGATACTGTCAACTGTCTTCCAGGGAGTTTGTACTAATTTGTACTCTCACCAAAAGTACAGGAGAGGGCCTACGTTTCCTACTCTGGTCTATACCGTAACACTAATAAACATTTTGTCTTTTCATTCATGTTGGGTGAAGGTAGTATTTCAGTGTTTCTTGCTTTTTATTTAATATACTACGGTAATAACAAAAACATCTGTTGCTCATTTCTTGTGTGCAAGGAATTATTTCAAGTGCTTTACATTTTAAACTTAATTAACTCGATAACCCTGTGAGATAAGTAGGGTTATTATTCTTTTTTAATAAACATGAAACATGAAATGGGGGGTGGGTGAAGTTATTTGCCCAAGATTAAGCAGACAGTGGGTAGCAGAGCTGGGATTCAAGCCTGTTTAGTAGGCAATCTGGCTCCAGAGCCTGTGCTCTTAACTACTAAGCTATTCTCTGAATAAATATCACAAATTTATCTTTCATTATATATGAATTATCTGTATAGCCTTTACATATTTATCTTATTGATTTATAGACACTCTTTACATATTAGAACAATTGGCCTCTTCTCCTATGAGTTTTAAGTATGTCTCCTATGAGTTCTAAGTATGTTTTCAGTTTGCATTTTTGATTCTCTTTATGTTTTTTGTTTTGTATACAGTTAAGTTGAATTTTGGTGAAAATTTCAATCTTATGATCATTAAGTTTTATGACCAGCTTAGCCTTTCCTCATTCCAAGATTATAAAAATACTCTGCAGTGTCTCAACTTGTACTTTTAAATTTCATTTAAACTTTTGATCCTTCTGGATTTATTTTGGTGTTAGGAGTGAAGGCAATAGTTCTTTCCTTTTTTTCTTTTTAAAGATATATAATTGTGTCTTTTGACATATACATAAATGTAAACCAACTCAATAAATAATATAAAGCACCCAAAGATATATACATACAGTTGCATGCCCATATATACCTGTTCATACATATATTGATCTGAACAAATTTACACATGAAAATAAAATATATACAAGTATAAATACAGAAATGAAAATATAAGTTTCCCCCCCACTCCAGTACTTGAATACTTAGAGAAATTAATTCTTAGTGCATGCCAGATATGAGTGAGATTTGGTTGCTGGTCACTTGGGACATGCCTATTTTCCTTTAGCAGAACATTGAAAAGGCTTATGGTTGGATTCTCCTTGTACTTTGGTATATTTGTATATCAAAAACATCCCATTAAAACTGGTTCAACTCCCTGTTTATGTTTCTTGCCCTTTATAAAAAAGAAGAAAGCAGGTCAACCAACGTCCTATAAAAGAAGGCTAAGGTCACAGGTTAGAATTTATTCCGTATACTTAACTACCTGCAGAGGAAACCAATCAAATCTTGGCTATTTCCAGATCCACAGTGATACTGTCTTTTCATTTCAAGCCATAAAAGTTAAATACTGACTCATATCTTCCTGTTTTGAAGGAAAATGGGTATCTGGGTCCAGGCCAGCAGTTCTCAACCTGGGATGATTTTGCCCCTAGCAGACATTTGGCAGCATCCAGAGTCATTTTTGGTAGTCACAGCCTGGGATTGGGCAGCTTCTACTACCATCTAGTGGGTAGAGGCCAAGGATTCCCTTGGCATCCTGTGGTTAGTTCACCAGCAGCTCCTGCCTCTCCCCATCCCCCAACAAAGAATTATTGGAACCAAAATGCCAATAGCACCATTGTTCAGAAACACTGGTCTAGGTTAAGGCAGGAAAACCAGAAAACCTGGATTAGATGTTGATAGTTAGATTTGTAGGGATGGATAGAATTACAATGTTATAAAGAAGTAGCGTCTTTATATTAAATCAATCCAAACACATTTCAGGTTTTTTTGTGGCTGTTTTCTTTGTACTTCTTGGCTTCTTTTGATATAGCCATTTCCATAATCAGTCAAGAAGCAGACACATCAAGACCTTTTTTTTCTTTGTAAATGTCACTGACTTTTATTAGGTAATATAAGAAGTCTGAGAATTTTAAAAAATTATTTTCTTGAACTCCTCTCAGTCACAAACTCTTGTTTATAACCCTCAAAATGACGCATTGCCTTTCTCATGTGGTTTTCTCATAGTCTGCTTTTTCTTGTTCCTTAAAAAAAATTCCGTGGACTCTAAATCGTCTACTAAAGTTATCACTGTTCTTTTAATAAGTAACATATTCAGTGTAGCAGTTTTACAGTAAAGGGAGGTCCTTGTGAAATCCCTTGATTCTGGGAAGATGAGGGGAGCGAAAAAATAAATAAATAAAGCAAAAAGGAAGAAGCATGAATGCTATGCAGTTCTGCATCATTAATCCTAGCAATGAGCTCCTTGGCCTCTTGTTATCTGACCCCGTCCTGTGTATGTTTGGATGCACTGTCTTGGCTGAGGGCTCTTGCACAGAATGCAGTAAGTTTGTCAACCTGAAAAGGACATGAAGAAAATAAATTGGAACAGTGCTAACAACATAGAAATAGAAGACTCGCTCTTCAGTGGGAACTGAGCTCTATTCAAAGCACCACGCTCTGTGCAAGTGAACGCTTTCCATCCACAGTCTTACTGTGGCAGCAAGAGAGGGTCCTTCCTGTCGGATTGTTTGGTTTACTGGGGTGAAGCACTGGGCAGGGGGAGTGTAACTGTCTCTACATCGTAACCCTGGCATTTAGTCAAACCTAATGACTTTGAGGCATTTCGAATTTGCTAACTAGAATAGTAACAAATGAGCCAACTGGAGAGAAGAATGCTTTCATGGAACTTTGTAATTTTAAGTAGCTCTTTCATGCTTGTTAAAATTTTAATGGTTGGCATTCCTATTTCCGCAGACTTTACACGTTAGAAGGAAAACCTGTTGAGAGCGGGGCGGAGTTGGAGAATGGGCAGTTTTATGTGGCCGTTGGCAGAGATAAGTTTAAGAAATTGCCTTACAGTGGATTACTTTTTGACAAGTCCACAATGAGAAGGTCCTATGGGTAAGTGTTCATCCTCATGCACGTCTCACCTTTTAGTTATCACTTGAAATAACATTGAGTCTTATGCTGACCACTGGTATATTTTATGTAATCTTCTTTGTCAGTTAGAATGGAAAGCATGTATAATGTATATTGATTCTTTTTGCCATGATGGAGACTGGAGATTTTTTTTTTTGCACAAAAATATAATCTTGGGGAATCTGTGAAAGGTTATATAGTATTTTTTTTACCATTCACTTGTGAATTCATATTAAATATAAAGATTCATTTTTGTGAAGAAGATACAGGGCAATGGGCTTCTATATAGCATCATTATTTGAAGTTTTAATAATGTCTCCACTGGCTACCTAGACCAAATAATTTTCAGTTTGTGCACATACAAACATCTACAAATGTTAAAAAACATATTTTATCTTTGTTTTAATGATAATAAGAGATAAAAACGATATAATTGTCCTTAAGCCATTAAGTAGAGCAGTAGACAATATAATTATTACATGCAAGATTTTAAAGATTACACTTTTAATTACACACAATGCACTATGACCCCTTTTCTGCTGTGAAATTTCATGTATTTGTGAAAGATGCCTTATTTCAGCCCAGTAGATGGATGCCAAAGGCATGCATGAAGAGCCCCCAGCCTCTGGCAGATGCAGGCACCCTGGCTTGGTCATGGTGCTGTGGTTTACCATCTGTGCTGCTTTTCACAGAGGATTCTATGGCCACTTAGCTATCGCAAACTGAATTTTCATGACTGTCCTCTGCTAGGGTGTGTATTACTTGCACAGATACAGCAGAAGGTCACCAATTTGTTTTCCATTAATTTGCCATTTGTGAAGCTTGTTGGAGAGAGAGGCTGGCCAAGGGTTTCCAGATAAGTAAGGAATGAAATGGACTTTGGGGAGGTGTTTGGAGTGTGCAAAAGCACATGGTTTTCCAGCACTTTAGAATTACTTACAAGCAGACTTACTGATGACAACCTTAGCCACCCATGAAATGAAGTCCAGTGACACTGGATTCACTTGCTGTGGGCTACAGTGTGTTCTGAGGGCAGTGAGAAGTCTGTAGCTCATGGTAGCCTCTCTCAGACAAATTAGTAAGACATACCTTCATCTACATATGGCCTTCTTTTCAGAGGAGATCAGGGAGTTCCAAGATAAGTTTCCTCCTAACATCTGTGAAGCAATATTTCTATAACCAAAGAAAACTTTTATTTTTTGTTGAGAATGACCAGTCTAGGAGTGTCCCTGAATATAAATGCTAGTGTTTTGCCATTCTGAGCTTCTGCGGACATTATGAAAACAATGGAAATGTATTGTTTGGAAATGTATTGTTTGACAAAATCACCACTCAGCTTAGGAAAGGACTTTTTGAAATGCCAAAACTTTAGAAAGTTTAGGGAGTTGAATAAAATTGCTGCAGAAAAATTGAAGGTGGTACTAAAAGTTTATAGGGAGCATTGATTAAAATAGCTTAATGTCAAAATTACAAATCTTTTGGGATGGAATTTAACAATTTTATGGTGGTCTTGGTGAAATTGGGAAAGTATATGGTACTTTCTTGAAAAACCCATGTCCCTTAAGCAGTTGACTTGAAGGTTGGGATGACAAGTTGGGATGACAGTTGTCTTGCATTGTGTATTATTTGTAAATAATATTCAGATTTCTAAATTGCTATTTGTTTCCGCAGTCAGAAGGCTTCTTCACTACCTCCTATTGTAGGATCCAGAAAGTCTAAAGGGAGTGTAAGTATCAGATGCTTTACTCATTAATGTTCTCTATTCCTCTATGATACAGAGAGACTGTCCTCTGGGTTTCAATTAAATTTGAAGAGATAAAACTTAACTGCCTTGTTGGCATATAAACAATTATGTGAAACAACACTAGAACATTAATGTTGCAGTGTAGGTCTTCGAAGTGAACTAACATTTTTAAAATATAGGTTCCAAAGTAGGTGTCTTTTTCCTTGTGTACTGACCTGATGTAACTTACTTCACAGTTGAATCTGAGCAATGACATGTAAAAGTAGAAGAAAGGATTAGATCACATTAGTGGTCTCCTCAGTCTGGCTTTCTATCTCTGACAAGAAATAAATATTTTTTTTGAAAAAAAAAATAAGATCAATAGAAGGCAATCCTAAAGTTACATTCTTTTAGAAGACTGAGAATCACTCTACATAGTTTCCTATCAGAATTTTTTCCATCCATGATTCCTCCATCTATTTGCTGACTCGGCAAATGTCCATTAAGTACCTCTCATGGAGGAGCTGTGGTGAGAGTTTAGTAGGTGACTTGGTAACCTGGTTGTATCTTCAATCCATACCCCCTGTCAGGGATGTGAGACAAGTCATGCTGGAGTGCTGCTTTGAGAGGTTTTTTGGGCTGAGGCTTCTCTTTCTGCTTCTTTGAATGAACTGCCTGACCAGCTGTGATCAGAATCGGTTTGACATTTCCCCATCTGAACATTTTCCCCTGATTTAACTAAGCAAAATTCTTTTTTGCGGATTTTATGACATAAGCGACTACTGGGCAATGAACGGTGTCCTGATGATGGTTTAGGTTTCCCTCCCCCCCCCCCACCTTTTTGTATATCATGCAACAGTCTTTGGAGACAAAAAAAGAAGTAATTTTGTGTGAAGTAGTGCTGAACTCAGAATAACAAGCAATAGATGTTTATCGCCCATTTGCAAGTTGAGGGAGGGTCTCATACTGTTTATGACAAAGCTTTTGTGCTCAGGAAATGTATGATCTGGTCGAGAACAGCCTGAGAAGGTAACTAATGCTGAATAGCGAGTATGTAGTGAGATCGGTAAATATGAGGAGGGGGAGTCAAATGTATGTTCGCCAAAGCACATGAAGGAAGTTGCACATGAGCCACACCTTTGAGGGTTATTTGCAACAGGTGAAGGCTAATGAGGGAAAGGGGTTCCCGATGGGAAGGATAGTGTAAGAAAGGAGCCACGATGTGGATTTCAGGAGGCGATAATACAGGTTGCTATCCACCCTCAAAAACAAGAAAGGGAAGCCCCAACAGAAGGAGCATATGTTCCCACTGAATAATGGCAGGGGACAGACTTGAGTATAGATGACCTATTTGGAGGGAACTCACTCTCATGACCCCGGGGGACAGTGAGTCCCTCAGGCTAACTGATCGGAGTAGAGGATCCATCCTGTGTGGAGGCTGGTATGCCTGGAATGGTAGGTGGCTGTTTCAGATGGCCTTGAATGTCAGAACCAAGAGTTTACTCCTTATCCTTGAGTAGAGGGCAGCTCATGAGGGCTTCCAAGAAGTGAGAATGTGAACCTGGAAGGTTGGATCTTTTTTTGTGGAGAAAGACTTAGCATGGTGAGAGGCCACAGATGAGAGACATGTGTTATGTGACCATTGGAAGCAGGAGCCTTGGCATAAGATGAGAAGATCCTAGGCTAGGAAGGTGGGAAAGGTGGCAGGGGGTTGAATGGAGAGATTGGAGCCAAAGATAACTGCACGTTCTTGAGCTTGGATGGCTGAGAAAATAGGGTTACTCTGGCCAAGGAGAGGGCAGGCAGTGGGAGGAAATAATGACGTGCCTGATTTCAAACATACTGAGATGAAGTGTCATCACAGAATCTAGTTGAAAGTGTTCAGCAGGCAGCTGTGCTAGAGACCGAAGCCTGAGGAGGATATGGGGCAAGTCTATCCTCACAGCGGTCATAGCTGGAGAGCAGACCTGTCACCTTGGCGTTCCTTCCTGGCATCCAGCACAGCCTGGCAGGGAGCAGCCCTCCTCCTGCAGTTGAGTGGGAGCCTGGAGAGGGTGCACACAGATCACAGAGGACCCAGCCCGGAAGCAGCTTGACTGCATGGATCTGTAGAGGAGGAGTAGAAGGAGGAAAGAATGTTCCAGTGACCGAAAGAGCAATTTTAGCCACTACCAAAGCTAAAACCCATGAATTTAGGGTTTGGAAATTTTGTCCTCTTGCTCTTCTTCAGGATTTTGGAGCAGAATCTCCTTGTCTACTAGGTGTGTGCAAGCTCATCAGTTCCCATGGTGCCACTGCAAGAGTGATGGTTGGGCAGACACCCAGTGAACTTCATATCTGACCTTAGGTCAACCAGGAAGTGGGTGTCTGGACCAGGACCATAACTCAACTCTTTGCATTCACACTTACCAGATCTTGAAATCACATGCTTATTATTCTGAAGTTTGGAATGTCTAAATTTTTTGTTAGAAATCTGTCTAAATTTTTTGTTAGAAATCTGTGTTTTCCACTTTAGAATTCACATGCAAGAGGCACATTTATGCAGTCTTCTTTCTTTCCTGCTTGTTTGGAAATTCTTTAGAATCTGTACTGTGAATGCTGGTTTGTCTAATGGCAAATGGAGTTGCCCGTGCATCTAGCTTGGAACAGAGCCCCAGGGAGATGGAGATGAGCAAGAAACCCATGGTGCTCTAAGCCCAGGGTACACCTGGCAGAAAGCAAGCTTAAAGTAACAATTCCAGAAATCAATATATAATTACGAAGTGCAGTGGGAATGACAGAGAAGTACAGAGCAGTAGGAGAGACAATAGAAGGAGGACCTACTTAGAATAGGTATGTCGGGACTGGTCTTCTCTGGGTAAGTGACCATTGTGGAAAGACTCAGTGTCATGACGTGCTTCCATCTCGTAGACCGAGCAAAGACTCAGAATTACATTTCCATGCTCAGACTTAGAAAAATAAAATGACTGTAGTTTTGACCTCTTTCCATGATGTTTCAGAAACATTCTGTCTATCCATCTGTCTGCCCATCTGCTCATTCAGTCAGCCATTCAGTGTATACTTGTTGAGCACGTACTAACGTGCCAGGAGGCTCTATGGAGGACCAACTTATGGTGGCGACCAGACCATGCTTCAGAACTCATAGCATTTTCCTTCTAGTGCTTGTGTGTGTGTGTGTGTGTGTGTGTGTGTGTGTGTTTGGGGGAGGAACAGGAGAATGGGAGTAGACGCTATCAACCTCTAAGCAAATATACAGATAATTTCACATGGTGCTACACAGTGGGAGGAAAATAAAATGTAGCAGGGCACAGATTGATCGAAATTTCTCTGAGACCTTAATGATGTAAATGAGCCAGTCCTGTAAGGGGGGGCAGGGACAGAAAGAGCCCCTATGGCAGAGAAAATGGTCACAGAGGCCCTTGGTGAGAAGCCTGGCATCTGGGCATGTGAGAAGGAGATGCAGAAAGCCAGAGTGGTCTGCGATGAGATTGGAGGGGCACATAGACACCATGCTAGGAGGTGGGGTTTTATCCCTTGATGGGACACCATCTGAGGGTGAGAAGAAGAGAGGGATGCCGTTTCACTTAGTGTTTTGAGAGATGACTCCGGCTGTGGTGTGTACAGAGGAGTGGGTCGGGAGAAGGACATAAGCAGGAGGCAGTGGGGTGGCTAAACCCAGCACACTGTGCAGGTGACTTGGACAGGTGGCAGCAGGCGAGATGAGTATCTGTGACTATTCTTCCTTGAGTATCTTGTAACAATTGTCTCTGATTGGTGTATTCGGCCAACAGGCATTTACGGAGTGCATGTTACTGTTTTGGTGCTTGTGGGGACAGTAGAGGCAGGGAATCTAGAGAAGACACTAGGTGTATGAAGCTTACATTCTGGAGGAGGAGAAAGACAATTACACAATACATTCGGCAATAATTGGGAATAAGTTTGAAGAGAAAACATGAAGTAATGGGAAGAGAAAGTGAGAGGATGCTATATCATCTGGGTGGCCAGGGCAGGCCTCTTTTAGGAGGTTATATTCGGGCAGAGGGGCATAACCCGCTTGGCACACAGCAGTGTGAATGTTCGCGGTGAGCCACATGGACAGACCATTGTTGTCGCCAATTCCAAAGTCACAAACTCCGTCTTTAACAGAAGGATTATTTCACTCCTTTCCTGTAATTAATTGGAGAATGTACATGTTTGCAAGATGGTTACGGGCTTGGCCCTGATGGAGGTGTGAGTGAGGGGGAGTCAGGAGGAGACCTAAGCTTTGGAATGGAGGGACCACTGCCCAGTTAGCAGGAGAAGCTCCTCTTGCTGCTGATACAAATCGAAGGGGATGCAGAACCAGATTTTGGAATTCACTTCTTGCAAGGCTTTCTAGGAATCACTCTGTTGCGTAAGTAAGGGGAGTGTGGGTGGGGGCCTGATAGAGCACAGTGGGGAAGAGGAGAGAAAGCTGTGGGAGCCTGTGGCGGGCAGGTGTGGGGGTTAGGGGGACCCTGCTGGTGTGGGAATGCCTGGGTCAGCAGTAGGGAGTGCTGGCGATGGGGGCTTCTGGGCTCAGGGGACCCTTTCAGAGCAGCTAAGGAGCCCCCAAGGCCAAGCAGGGCTGGACCAGCCGGCCACGCCTCCTGCAGACTCCTAGAGCAAATTGAGAGTAATTTTAACCTGCAGCTCTAGCCTTGAAAACAGAAGGGGGATATAAGTGAATTGTGTTAAATTCTAGGAAGTGTGAGAAACCACCCAATCGATCAGTGGGAAGCTGCTGTGGAGCTGCCCGGGGAACAGCCGTGGGGTCGAGCTGCCCCCTAGTGGGACAGGTATAAGCTCTGAGATAGTTGAAAGGCCCGGCCAGTGTTCTTGTCATTACCCCGTGGCTGATAGATCTTGTGACCTGTAGTTTACAGACTCAAATATCATCATTGCTAAAGTTCTGGCAAAAAGAGCACAAAAAACAAAACCCGATTCTCCATGTATCACAAAGTCAATGTGTAGTTAGAGAAACTCCAGATGCTCCCAAAGCTCTATTTTGCCTTTTGGGAAACAGAGTCCAGTATGGATAACAGGGCTTTTTTTACACACTTGCCCTCACCAGGTATGCAAGTGAGAGAAATGCCAGCCTGGGTTTGGGTCTTGTTTCCTTGTCGAGAGTCTCCCTTCTGGGTGCATCTCTGAAAGACACCGAGGTGGAGGCTGCTCCGTGATGCAAAACCCTCACAAAGTTGCCAAAAAACAAACTTGATGTTTTTTTTTGGCCTCTGGTGCCTTTGGCATGTGTTCATGGGGGTTAGGAACACTTTTCCTGGGATAATGAAGGAACACCTGAGTTGGATGCCTCTTGTTGGAAAAAGCCCAGAGAACTATTTAAAAAATCCCAGTTTCAATAAAGTAGGGGAGATGGAAGGGCTCCTTTCAGGTTTTGTTTATTTGAGCCAGAGGATTGCTATTCCTGACACATCCAACTATGATGGGTGTAGGTCAAGAGGCAGGACAGTGGTCCAGATAACACACAGAGTCTAGTTTTCTTTTCTCTTCTTTCCTTTTCTTTTCTTTTCTTTTTCTTCTTTCTTTCTTTTTAAAAAGATTTTATTGGGGCAACCTGGGTGGCTCAGTGGTTTGGCGCCTGCCTTCAGTCCAGGGCGTGATCCTGGAGACCCAGGATCGAGTCCCACATCAGGCTCCCTGCATGGAGTCTGCTTCTCCCTCTGCCTGTGTCTCTGCCTCTCTCTCTATCTGTGTCTCTCATGAATAAATAAATAAAATCTTTTTATTTTTATTTATTATTTTTTTATTTTATTTATTATCTTTTTTTTTTTAAGATTTTATTTATTTATTCATGAGAGACACAGAGGCAGAGACACCAGCAGAGGGAGACGCAGGCTCCCTATGGAAAGCCAATTTTGGGACTTGATCCCAGGACCCCTGGACCAGACCTGAGCCATAGGCAGATGCCCAACCACTGAGCCATGCAGGTGCCCCTGGGGTCCGGGTTTCGCGTAGGACATGCTGTAAAATCAGGCTTCTTCTTGAGTCCCTCCACTTTGGCACAAAGCCACAACTTGTCGCTTCCAGGTGGCCTTTTCAAGGAAGCATGCCATATAATAAATATTTGTAGGGCCTTGGCATGAGGAAGCTTCTGTGTAGTACAAAAATCAGACTTGGGTGACCTTGAGAAAGTTAATCTCCTTTATCTGTAAAACAGTGACAATAATGCCATATTTGTGTTAAATGGGTATTTAGTATGTACAAAGTACTCAGTGATACTGTTTTGTCAACTGGCATAGCTGTACAAGAGTGGCAAAACTCCCTTATTTCCTATGCCCTCCAAAGAGCCACAACTCTCTATTTATGTATCCAGGTTGTAAGTCATGTGTGGAAGTCCCCCCCTAAAAAGGAAGGAAATTCCTTCTCTTGATTCCTTTGTCCCCTCCTCCATATTTATTTGTAGATCACCTATTATTTATATAATTAATTATGTAAGTAAATGTGAGCCTATATAACTTACATAATTAACTATGTAAATAAATACGAATATATGTGATTTACATTGTATAGCTTATTTATCTTTTTGTGTGTCATTATTATATATTTTATATTGTTAACACTTTAGATGAATCAACATTTTTTCTTTGTTAAAAAAAAAAACAAGCATTTAAATTGTTTCCAATCTTCCTTTTTTAAAAAATATGTTATTTATTTATTGGAGAGAGAGAGAAAGAGCACAGAGGGAAAGGGAGAAGCAGACTCACCACTGAAAAGGGAGCCTGACATGGGGCCTGATCCCAGGACCCTGAGATCATGACCTGAGCTAAAGGCAGACACTAACCCAGCAACTGAGCTGCCCAGGCTCCCATTTCCAGTCTTCTAATTACAAAACAGATTCTTCCCTTTATTTTAGTTTAATTTAGTTCAACAAAGCAACTGGCGATCAGCCATAATTCATTAATCAAATACATGAGTGTCCATTACCAAAGCCATGTTCTGTGTTGTTATTGGAATCCACCAGTTTTTCCTGATGCTCCAGAATAAACCCTTTTGAGTGTCCTCATCAGAAATGGAGTAAATCAGAACTTCCTGTATAGTCAATAAAAGAGTTGACTTTTAACACTGTATGAGTCCCAGGCACCCCTAAATGGGGCTTCAGCTACTCCTTTGTCATATGCCATTTGCAAAAATACCTTCTCCTGGAGAGCTATAAAGGACTCTCGTGCCGAGATCCAGAGGTTCTTATACACTAAGCTTCATTTTAGTCCTTGAAAATTCCACATCATCTTTGAACATTCCAGTGGGCTTGCTAGAAGGGCGACTTATAAAGTCTCAAAATTGTGGGGTGAATACACATGATTGGAAAACAGGCTAGAATATGAGACCTGGTGGATGGATGTGGAATCTCCACTCTAATTGTGTGATCTGTATCTTGTGCCAGGTAGTCTGTGGCCTTGTGAAAAAGAATCACTGGAGAAAAAGAAAATAAGCAACAACTTTGGTTGCACTTAATGCAATAATTAAATGGAAGCGTATGTTTAAATTGCGGTTGGAATGGGAAATTAAATTATGCAAAAGAGTGTTATAGATTTGGACAAGTTTTCATACTGTTAATAAATCTATGCATAATTCATTTTCTTGTAGGCTACAACAAAATAGCATAAATAACTTCATTTGTAAGGCTGTGAATTTTTCTATTCTTAATTGGGTGATGGCTGAAACCATTTAAATGCTTCTGGATGACTGAATATATAAATGTTTAAAACGAGCAGTTATAATAGGTTTCTAGGCAGATTTGTTTATTTAATATTACTGCATTTATTTTTAGATACTAGCATAGTACAGATGTTGCATAAAGATTTCACTCAATATGGTATGACTTGGATATGATTTTTAAGAAAAAGATATTAACTCTGCTCTTGGAGAAAGTACTCTGCTACTCATGGAACAAATAGTGCCTGATAGGCTGTACTAATTATTTTGTAAGTGTTACCATTTCCTCCTCATGATAGACCTTAAGGCAGGTGCATTAGCCCCACTCGGCTAATTAGGAAACTGTCAAAGAAGGTAGGAGTGAGTTAGCAGGAGGGCCCATGGTTAGTGGTAGTGGCTCTGAGCCAGGTATTTTGGTCTCTAAAACTTGTATTCTTTCTTTTTCTTTAGCCTCATGCCTTAATACACTCAAGTGAGTTTAGCATCTGAGCATCTGAGAACCAAGTTGTCTTGTTAGGGGGGGTTCCTTGCTTCAGCAATGGCCAAGCAGAGACTAAGTTGTTCTTTGGGTGCTTACAGTAGTCACCACTGTGGTGGCTGTTATGTGGCTCCCCGGGAGGGGGGGCAGTTTGGGCCAACGCAACTCAACCAACCTCTCCTTTGTGCTGAAGAGCCTCCTTTGCAGATGCAGTCTTCATTTCCAGTAGCATGTGGAGACCACGGACAACTACTGAATGTATGATAATTGGTGGTTGCCTTGCAGGAGAGTGGTCTTGAACCATTTGTGTCTGAGTAGCTCAGGATTTGCAATTGTCAGGGAACCTAGCAAGTACAAACAGGTGAATACATATTTGAGGTTTTCTGCAAACATAGTGTATGTCTTCTTGTGTGATGATACCCTCACAGTGGCCACTGGTTAAGAAGGCATTTCTAGATTAGCTGATCAAACTGAGGGTTATCAATCTTCCTCATCCAGTAGATTTTTTCGGAAGTCACAGAAGGGAGAGGGTGGTTCAAATGGTGGTCTTGCTGACTCCATGACCTTGGGCAAGATTCAACCTCTAAGCCTCATTTCTTCCTCTGTGCAGTAAAGTATAACAGTATCTGTCTCACAGGGTTGTGAAGATTGAAAGAATTTTGTAGAATGTCTGATATATATTAAGTATTCAACACTTCTCAGCTACAATTTTACTCTTGTGCCTCTGCTAGACCCTTCTCCTTGCACTAGGAAAAGTTAATGTGCATATTAAAATGAAGAGCAGGGAAGTAGCCCATTCCCTGCTGGTTAATGACTTATGTTGACTAGGTGTTACTCTGGGTTTTCGTTAACCCATGGTAAGCGTCTCATCTTCTGCCACTCAGGGAAATGATCGTCAATCCAAGTCAACAGTTGGATCCAGTGATAACACATCCCCTCAGCCCCCAAAGAGGAAAGGGCGAAAAGAAGAAGTGAGTTTGGAAAAACCCAAGAAAGGGAAGCAAAATGTAAAGTTAAAGAAATCACCACAAACAAGTCCAAACAGTGGTAAGTTTGTCCTTGTTATCATTATATTGTTTTTATTGAATGTCATCTTAAGGCTGTGATGCGATTTTAATTCTTAAATAGATCTATTTGTTTCTCTGGACCCACGGAAGATACTCCTTATCATCATATAGGAGAGTTTTCAAGGAAGACCTTTTGTGTATGAAAGATTTTTCAGTATTTCCAGCTCACGTTCTGTTTGTGATTAGAGGTTGTGTCCAAGAACATGTGTTTTGAGGTAAAATATTTCTTGTGGTGGTCTCATGTAAGACAAGGTAGCTCTTGTCATCTTTTTCTTCCATTGAAAGGGCTTGATTAACATTTTTACCAACTACTGTTAACATTGGTCTGTCTCACTTGTGTGTCTACAACCTCGGTACACATTGATCACAAGTTACTTTTAGCCACAGATCCCTTTCTCCAAAATGTTTTACAAAATTTCACTGATATCCAAGAGGATACTACACATCCAGAAAACTTTACCCATAGACCACATGTACGCAAATTAGTTCTGTATCTTGCATTACCAGGTAAGGGATGCCATAAAGTTAGTTTTTAAAAATTTTCATCAGTATGAGGTTTTGTGCAGTCAGAATTGTGAACTTTCATGGTAGTTTTTGGGAAGACAGGCTCTTTTTTGGTTTCCTCCAAGAATGGTGTCAGTGGGACAAGCCCACAGCAGTAGAGGGCTGGCCAGGGCACAGCCCCTTCAAGGCACTGCTTCTCCTTTACCCAGGTCCCCTCACTCCCCTGCAGGGGAACATGCTGGGCACACAGGAAGAGGACGGATGAGCTGTTGTTCCAGATTTGTTGCCAGCTCTCTGTCTTCTACTTGGGAGCTTCAGCTTATCTCAAAGTTGATGTGAGGAGTCACAATAGAATGATAGCTACTGTGGACCTCACAACTAAGGAGACATGTGAACCTATAGGGATTTCAGAGGGTGCGGCAAAGGTGATGAATTTGTCACGGGAAAACTGGGAGGCTAAGTGAATGAGCCAGTTAGAAAGAGGAGTTAGAATGATGGGGGCCTTTCATCTTCAAAGATTTCCAAGATGAAGACCAGCTGGAGAAGGGGACTACTGGATTCTGGTTGCAGTTCTGCTATGGCCCTTGGGCAAGTCACTTAACATTTGGGGGACCCCATCAGCTATCTGCAAATTGTGGGTTCATATTAAGATTTACCTTGAAAATTATGCTTACCTGTAAATCTGTATAATCCCTTGCAGTGACTGCGAAACAGGGGAGGCCAGGGTAAAATGTGGCCAATGAACGTTTATTGAATGCATATTTCATGGCAGGCATCAAAGGAAGAAAGCTAGCCTGGAATAATATGCCATACTTCGAACATTTAAAAATAATAGAGGCTTTATTTTAATCAATATATCAAGTTGTGAAGCCCCCAGGCCCTGGGCCGTGTCTTACTAGGTATTTTGTTTTTATTCACAACAGCTGGCACAGGTCCGATTTGAGACGAGACTCTTAATAAATGGCAAATGAGTGCTGGATGGCACAGCATAGAGAGATCCCTGTGATCCTTTGAAATCCACTTGAAGCAGGACCTACTTTAAACTTTTCATGAATATTTTTTCATTAGAGACTTTTATAACATGGGACTTAATTTCTGTGAGGTTCATCTTAGCCTGGGAAAAAAATCCCAATTCCTCCTTCTGATGTATGTGTTTTAAAGGTCTTTTGTTTTAGTGGTTGTTTCTCCTTCAGAAGGAAGGGGATGTTCTTTTTGTCAGGCTTCTTGTTTGTGGAAATGATGTAGCATGAGGCTGCATCAGTGGTTTCCTCTTGTATTGGAAGGTAACCTTTATTAAAAAGTTAAATGATTCGTATTTTAGCTTTCATAGAAGTTTGCAGTTTTCAACAACAACTGTATTTGGGAGGATGAAAAGAACAAAAAACAGGTTGAGCATTTAAAGTGCTCAGAAAAGGTGGAAGCCCATCGCTGTTCTGCCCTTGTCTTTGGAGAGAGACTGACCATTGTTTTAGAGAATTCCCATTTTAAGTGTGTGTTTTCTGATGTCGCTTTAAAACGTGCAGAATGTAGGCTTCTCACTGCTGAACCTCATTGTTAATGTGGGACTATTGCTGGTGGCTATCAAGTGATGGTTTTGGGGAGTGGAATTTCCCTCTATCCCTACGCTCTGAAGAGTTTTGATCAGGAATGGATGCTGTATTTTGTCAAATGCTTTCTCTCCAGCTATTGAGAGGATCATATCGTTCTTGTTTTTTCTCTTGTTGATGTGATCTATCATGTTGATTGTTTTATGAGTGTTGAACCACCCTTGCATCCCGGGGATAAATCCCACTTGGTCATGGGGAATAATCCTCTAAATGTACTGTTGGATCCTACTGGCTAGTATCTCGTTGAGAATTTTTGCATCCATGTGCATCAGGGGTATTGGTCTATAATTCTCCTTTTTGTTGGGGTCTTTGTCTGGTTTTGGAATCAAGGTAATGCTGGCCTCATAAAACAAGTTTGGAAATATTCCCTTCCTTTCTATGTTTTGAAACAGGGTTAGTAGAATAGGTATTATTTCTTTAAACGTTTGATAGAATTCTCCTGGGAAGCCATCTGGCCCTGGACTTTTGTGTCTTGGGACACATACATCTTTGGAACTCTTGTGTCTTGGGAAGTTTTCGATGATGGCTTCAATTTCCTCGCTGGTTATTGGCCTGTTCAGGTTTTCTATTTCTTCCTGTTCTAGTTTGGTAGTTTGTGGTTTTCCAGAAATGCATCCATTTCTTCTAGATTGCCTAATTTGTTGGCATATAGCTACTCATAATACATTTAAAATCGTTTGAATTTCCTTGGTATTGGTTGTGATCTCTCCTCTTTCATTTGTGATTGTATTAATTTGAGTCTTTTTTCTTTTTAATAAGACTGACTAGTTTATCTATCTTATGAATTCTTTCAAAGAACCAACTCCTGGTTTTATCTGTTCTAAGTTCTTCTAGTCTCTATTTCATTGAGTTCTTCTAGAATCTTTATCATCTGTCTTCTTTTGCTTGTTGTAGGTTTTATTTGCTGCTCTTTCTCCAGTTCCTTTAGTTGCGAGGTTATCTTGTGTATTTGAATTTTTCCCAATTTTTTGAGGGAGGCTTCTTTTGTGATGTATTTCCCTCTTAGGACCACTTTTGCTGTATCCCAAAGATTTTGAATGGTTGTATCTTCATTTTCATCAGTTTTCATGGATCTTTTTAATTCTTCTCTAATTTCTTGGTTGATCCATTCATCTTTTAGTAGGATACTCTTTAACCTTCATCATGTGTTTGAGGTTCTTCCAAATTTCTTCTTGTGATTGAGTTCTAGTTTCAAAGCATCGTGGTCTGAAAATATGCAGAGGACAATCCCAATCTTTTCTTACCGGTTGAGACCTGATTTGTGACCCAGGATGTGGTCTATTCTGGAGATAGTTCCATGTGCACTTGAGAAGAATGTGTATTTAGTTGCGTTTGGATGGAAAGTTCTGTGTATATCTGTGAAATCTATTTGGTCCGGTGTATCATTTAAGACCCTGTTTCTTTGGTGATGTTCATCTTAGAAGATCTGTCATTTGCTGAAAGTGCTGGGTTGATGTCTCCTACTCTTAGTGTATTGTTATCTAAGTATCTCTTTACTTTGGTTATTAGTTGATTGATATAGTTGGCAGCTCCCACATTAGGGGCATAAATATTCATGATTCTTAGGTCTTCTTGTTGGCTAGATTCTTTAAGTATGATTTAGTGTCCCTCTTCATCTCTTACTAGAGACTTTGGTATAAACTTTAATTTATCTGATATGAGGATTGCTACCCCAGCTTTCTTTTGAGGACCTTTGAATGGTAAATGGTTCTCCACTCTTTTATTTTTAGGCTGGAGGTGTCCTTAGTTCTAAAATGAGTCTCTTGTAAACAGCATATAGATGGATCTTGCTTTTTTATCCAGTTCAATACCCTGTGTCTTTTGATGGGATCATTTAGCCCATTCACCTTCAGAGTAACTATTGAAAGATATGAATTTAGTGTCATTGTAATACCTATTCAGTCCCTGTTTTTGTAGATTGTTTCTTTGGGCTTCCTTTTTCTTTTATAGGGTCCCTCTTAATATTTCTTGCAGAGCCGGTTTGGTGGTCTCATATTCTTTCAGTTTCTGCCTATCCTGGAAGCTCTTTATCTCTCCTTTTATTCTGAACAACAGCCTTGCTGGATAAAGTATTCTTGGCTGCATGTTCTTCTCATTTAGTACCCTCTATATATATTATGCCAGCCCTCTCTGGCCTGCCAGGTCTTTGTGGAGAGGTCTGCTGTTAATCTGATATTTCTCCCCATATAAGTTAAGAATCTCTTGTCTTGTGCTGCTTTAAGAATTTTCTCTTTATCTTTGGAACTTGCAAGTTTCACTATTAAATGTCGAGGTGTTGAATGGTTTTTATTGCTTTTTTGGGGGGTCCTCTCTATCTCTTGGATCTGAATTCCTGTTTCCTTCCCCAGATTTGGGAAGTTCTCAGCTATGATTTGTTCAAATATACTTTATGGTTTCTCTCTCTCTCTCTCTCTCTCGTTCTCTCTGTCTCTCTCTCAGCCTCTTCTGGAATGCCAATTAGATGTATATTCTTTCTTCTCAAACCATCATTTATTTCCCCAAGCCTTTCCTCATGAGATCTTAATTGTTTTTCTCTTTTTTCCTCAGCTTCCTTCCTTACCATCAACTTTTCTTCTATGTCACTCACATTCTCTTCCACCTCATTAACCCTAACAGTTACAACATCCAGTTTGGATTGCATCTCATTTAATTTATTTTTAATTTTGGCCTGATTAGATCTCAATTCTGCAGTAACTAAGTCTCTAGAATCCTTTATGCTTTTTTTTTCCAGAGCCACCAATAGCTTTATAATTGTACTTCTGAATTGAATTTCTGACATGTATTGAAATCCAAATTCTGTAACTCTGTGGCAGAGAGTATTGTTTCCAGTTCTTTCTTTTGAGATGAATTCTTCTTTCTAGACATTTTG